TCATACTCCTGGCGGCAGCAGGTATTCCCGCAGCACCTGAATCCTTCAGGGCAGGAGCTTCTTGTGGGGAGAGAGAGGCCGTTACCAAGGTGGGGAGGCAGTAGCATCACAGTCTCCCCAAAACACACCCATACACTCAGGACACGCGCCATCCCCTTGTGGGGTGAGGGCAGGGGCCCCCTCTGGGCTCAGTGGGAGGAACCTGGGGCCGGGATCAGAACCTGGGCCCAGGGGCATCGCACTGCTGGCCTTGTGCGCTTGGGCCAAGTCATGCTCCTTCTGGGCCTCCCTTTCCTCATCTACCAAATGGGGTAATGAGTGTCCTAGCATTTGTATACAAAGGTTGCAGCTTGCCCCCCCACTCCCAGGGTCCTCTCAGAGGGGAGAGGGCCTGAGACTGTAGTAAGGGGGAGGGGGTCGGGACTGTGGGAGACCCAGGAGGGTGGAAGGCATGTGGGCTTCAGAAGGCCCACAGTGTGAAGCTCCCCCTGGGGTGGCTGGTGGGAGGGAGCGGGAAGGGCAGTCTCCTTCCCTGGGTAGGGGTGTGCGGGGATGGCTTCTGGCTGGAAGGGGAGAGGGTGAGGGTGATGGATGTGCTGCTCCCTCCCATGAAGGCAGGCAGGATAGGTTTGGGGTGTCTCCTCCCCAGATTGGAAGTTATAGCCCAAACCCCAGACTTACAAAGGGCCACATCTGGCTGCAGCCTGTGGAAGAAAAGAGGCAGAAGTTAGGGGTCATAAACGCAGATGCTGCCCAGGCACCGGACAGCCAGCAGGTCCCCAGCGAATCAGCATCTTCCCCCAATCCTGCTCTCCACCTTACTCCGCCAGGCCCCCAGGTCAATGATGGGAGCCCTGGCTGCCCGCTAGAGACCCCCAGCTCTCCTTCCTCCCCTTCCACTCCCTCCACCATACTCGCTGCTCCCCAAGTCTGTAAGCTCATGCCCTCTTACATCTACAGTCCAGGACACTAAACTCTCCTGCTGCCCACCAGAGGCACTCCCCACACTGCGGGCAAGTTTCTAACCACAAAAATCTGATCACCCGCAACCTTGCTGTCGGGAGTTCCCTGAGCCCTGACCCCCAGCCACCAGCCTGAGCCGCCCTCTCACCTCTTGCACACACACCCACTGGGAGTTCCCTGCACATACCCGGCTGCTTTACACCAACAGGCAGAGGCCGTCATGGTCTGCTGATCCCCATCCCTTCCTCAGATCCCTGCCTGGCAGGGCTCCTCACTCTTTGTAGCCGCCTGACCCTCCTCTCTGGGACCAGCCCCTCTCTCCCCAGCTCTTCTGCAGGCGTCCAGGGTGTCTGTCCAGAATGTCATCCCATTAATAGCAACGATGTGTATTGCTTGGAACATTCTTCCCCCAGGTATCTGCAAGGCGGGCTCCAGCACCTTCCTTTTGACCATCTTACTTAAAATGACATCACCTGCACCAAAGCAGTCCCCGTCCCTCGCTGTGCTTAATGTTTCTGCATAGCTCTCGTCCACATGTAACATACCATGTATTCCCTTTATCTTGTTAATTGTGTGTTTCCTGGGTAGAGCATAAACTCCACAGGGCAGAGATTTCGGTCTCTTTCATTACTGTTGAAAATCCAACAATATTGGCAGAAGGAAAGAGCATTCATTGATTACCTGATTTCACTTCTTCCCAGCCACTCCCAGACTGGGTTTGGGGAGGAATGCAGCGATGGGAACATAGTAGGGAATGGGAAGTTATGTCACCCCCGCCTCCCGGGGACAAACAACCAGGGCTCAAGAATAAGAAGTGAAGTCCAGCCAGCATGGCTCAGTGGTTGAGCGTGGACCTGTGAACCAGGAGGTCTTGGTTCAATTCCTGGTCAGGTCACATGCCTGGGTTTGGGCCTCGATCCCCAGTGTGGGGCGTGCAGGAGGCAGCCGATCAATGATCCTCTCTCATCATTGATGTTTTTCTCTCTCTCCCTCTCCCTTCCTCTCTGAAATCAATAAAAAAATACATATATTTTTTAAAAGAATAAGAAGTTAACTTTGGTGAGACCATCCTATCTTCATACCTTTTCTTGAAATATTCCAGTAACATTACAGTTGCTAATGACAACAACAGTAAAGCTAAGAGTACCACTGACAGCCGATGGTAGTTGTGCTGATTCCCCCTTTGGGTTCAGTCCCATGTGAGTACCAGCTTCTCACAAGCCTTGGACAGTGGGGACTGGGGCAGCAATGAATCCCTGGGGCAAGTGGGCCCAGGGAGGGGGAGGACCACACAGCACAGAGGGGCCACGGCAGAGTTGGGGCAAGACCAAGGGATCCACTCAGTGGCAGCCCCTTCCCCTTCAGATCCCAGCCCCTATCCCTCGTCCCTCTGCTGGCCCCCAGCTAAGCAGAACAGATATGAACAGCTTAATAAATCTGCCCTGAATTCCTGTTTGGGAGGGGTAGGTTCACTTCTCTCGGATTTCTCTTCCCCATACACCAGGGGGCGGTCTTGTCTGAGGTGGTCCAGAGCCTGAGTTCTATCAAGCGTCAGGATGATCTTGGGGAACCTCAGCTTACAGTCATGTGCTGCATAAGCACGTTTGGTCTACGATAGACCACACAGACAACAGTGGTCCCATCTATCTATCTACATAAAACCCTAATATGCAAATCGACCGAATGGTGGAATGACCTGAGGAACGACTGGACACTATGATATGCACTGACCACCAGAGGGCAGACACTCAATGCAGGAGCTGCTCCCAGCCCACAGGCCCCGACTGGTGGTGGCAGGTGGTGCCAGGCCAGCCAAGGTGGGTGCAAGTGGGACCCCTCGATTGCCCTGCAGGTTCCCTCGCAGAGGGAGATGACTGGTGGCGGTGGGGGACAGGGCCGGTTAGTGGGCAGTGCCAGGCCAGCCAAGGCGGGTGCGAGCAGGGGCCCTGATCACCCCACAGATCAGCCCTGATTACTGGCCGGGCCTAGGGACCCTGCCTGTGCACGCATTTCATGCACCGGGCCTCTAGTAAAATTATAATGGAGCTGAAAATTCCTATTGCCTAGTGATGCCATAGCCAGCAGAGCCACTTCCACTCATGGTTAGTGCCCCATACAGGTGTACCATTTTTAAAATGGTTTATACTGTATTTTGACTATAGCTTTTCTATGTTCAGAAGCACAGACCCTTATACTGTGTTACAGTTGCCTACAGGATTCAATACCGTAACATGCTGTGCAGGCCTCGAGCCACGCTATACCATACAGCCTGAGTAGGCTATATCCGTGGTGGGCAAACCACAGCTCGCGAGCCACATGAGCAACAAAATCACCTAACAACGCAGCCGTTGTTAATCAGAGCAGGACTTCACACTGTACTTACAGGTGAGTTGGGGACATTAGCAGCACCTGCCCCCTGAAGATGTTGGGAGGAACCCACAAGAGGATGCCCAGCCTAGTGACTGAGGAGTGCCAGGGCTTGGGGGAGGGGGGAAAAAAGGGGGGTTAGGGGGGAGGGGGTAAAGCGCCCCGACAGTCAGCGCGGTCCTTGTGAATGTGCCCTGTTCTGGGAAGCCAGCCTGGCACTCCCCTTGGATCTTAAACAGCAGTTAGAAATCTGTCTTCTAGACTCCCATCGCAGAGCTGGGCAGCACTTCCCATCACTGGGGGTGTGAGAGGAGGGCGTGCCTGCCCACTGGCAGAATCACAGATTTCCGAGTCAGCCTTGGGTCAGGCAGCCAGATCCAACCCTCCCAGAGGGCTGGGCTTCCACCCCCTCTCCCAGAAAGGGACTAAGGAGCCCGCGCTCCCCTAGGGCACAAGCAAACAAACAGCCCAGAGAAGGCCGGGACTTCCCCAAGGTCACCCAGCACCGGAGGTACAGAGCCGGGGAGACCGGCTAGCCAGGCGTCCGGACCTCAGTTCCAGGCAGTTCCCGCTCTCTGACGCACCGAGGAGCGGGAAGGACTAGCCCAGGCTAAGGTGCGGGTCAAAGTCCCCGCTCACACAGAGGTGCCAGGTGCCAGGTGTCAGAGGGTGGTGGGCGAGGGTCCCCCAAGACAAAGGAACCCCGACCTTTTCAGGGCTTCCCCCGGCTGCCCCCACCTGCACCTCCCCAGCAAAATGAGAAAGGAAGTGGCTCAGGGCGTGTGGTCACGAGGAAACCCTAACAATGGGAGGTGGTGACCCGGCTCCAGCAGCGGCCCCGGACCCCCACAGGCGGACCCCGACAGTTCTAAAGCTTTATCTCCCGATCGCTCACCTGTTGGAGGCCGGTCAGCAGGCCGAGCAGCAAGGAGGGTAAGAGGCGGAGGACCCACGCGTCCGACATCCTGGCGTTGGGGCCACTGAGCTTCCGTGTGTCAGGGCAGGAGGGGAGGAGGGGAGGAGAGGCGGGGAGCGGGGAGGCGGGGCGGGGCGGGGCCGCGACCTCTCCCACGTCTCCACCTATGGGGTCCCGCCTCGGGTGCGCCGCGAGAGGCCGGCCTTGGGGCGGGGAGGAGGCGGGAAGGAGAGCGGAGAGGTCCGGGTTGGCTTTGGGGAATTGGGAAGTAGACGAGGTTAATTGAGAAAAACTGTGGGGTCAGTTCCAGACTGCTAAGCTACCCCTCCCATCTCCCACCACTGCCCCACCCCGAAGTGGCCCCCAGGCTGAAGGGGGGTGCGGCGGCGGGCAGGGGGCGAGAGGATGCTGGCTGGGGGGCCCCAGGCAGTCCCCGCACACCTGGCCTCCTGCGGGGCAGAGCTGGAGGGGAAAGGAGGTTCTGGAGTGGATTCAGGGTATTGTATGGGGGGAAGTGTCGCCCCCACCCCCATTTTTTTTTCTTTCTCTTTCTCTTTCTTTTTCTTTTTTGCCAAGAAGGGAGGAAGAGGCGGGCGGCTGATTGCTGGGGCAGGAGGACGCGGAGCACAGCCCAGGGACAGCCGTGTCCCCCCACCTCCCTACGTGCACTTCCTCCTTCTGACCACAGGGGCCACGAAGGCCCAAACGCTCCCCCCCACACTCCCCCAAACCTCCACCCCCCTCACCCCCGCCCCCCGGAGCTGGCTGATGGGCGGGGTGGGATGCCGTCTCGGGGGTGAAAGGCGCAGGATGAGAGCCAGACGCCCACACACGGATGAGACCTGTGGAAACCGAGCGGGAGCTGGAGAGGTGAAGCCCGGACGCCTGGGGAGAGGGCGCCATGGACATGGTGGTGGGGTGCTGCTCTGGGCCCGGGGAAAGGGAAGGGTCCGGGACACGCTCAGTCCTGCAGCTGTGAGCCGTCTCCTGCTGGCTCTCAAACCTGATTCTGCCCCTGGAAGCGGTGCCCAGGTTCGTGTGAAGGGCAGCCGGCCCCCTTTTCTCCTCCGTCCTCTCACCACTGTCCCTTTATCTGTTTCTCATCTCTCCCAGTCCTGTTATCTCTGCTCAGTGTTTACGCTTCTTGTCTGCTCCCCATTCCTCCCAGTCCCTCTTCCTGTTTTAGCCTCCACCCGGTTTCTCTCCATTTCTCTGTGTCCCCTGTTTCCCATGTGTTTCTTCTTTCTTCCTTAGTCTGTTTGTCTCAGGTGAGGAGTCTGGTTTTCTCTCTCCGTTTCCATTGACTTCCTGTGTCTCTATATGTGTTTTTTCTCACCAACTTTTTGGTCTCTCTCTGCCAGTATATCTTTCCCTGGTCTCTCTCTCTCTCTCTCTCTCTCTCTCACACACACACACACACACACACACACACAGTGAGCTACTGAGGACAGAAGCAGCATCTTTCCCTGTCTCTCTTTCTCATCATCTCTTGTCCCTTTTTGGCCCCTAAGGACAGAATCTTCTAGTCTCCTGGTCTAAGTGGAATTAAGGTCTGGCCCTACAGAATGACTTCTCTGTTCTCATTCTTGGTGACTCTGAGCTTGGAGAAGGGAGTGTAATGGGGCGGAGGCACCTCTTCCCTCATGCCCCTGCAGTTGGCTCTGTACCCAGCCTGCCTCTCTGCTGAGGGGGACCTCGTCCAGAGTGCCCATCCTGCTATCTCCTTGGGGAAGTCATTGCCAACTTGGACTTCTAAGGCCTTCCCACCCCTGCCCTGGCCTCACTGCATCAGCACTCAAGGTTGGGTGAGGGGGTAACCCCATCACACCTGCTGCCACTCTGCCCAGGCCCAGAGCCCTACCGAGGCGTAGCCCTTAGAGGAGGGGAAGGTAGGTGAGTTTAGGGGAGGATGATACCCTGGGGAGTGAAATGGGGGTGCTGAAGAGGGCATGGAGGAGTTTGTGGGGTAGCCGTGGGAGGCTGGGAGGGCTCAGGAAAAGGGACCAGGCAGGCACCAGTGCCCTGGGGATGGGCAGGAGGAGGGCTGGCGTCATTCCCTCTGGCTCTCTGGCATCCACCTGACACAGGTCTAGGGTTGCCAGACAAAATACAGGGCACCCAGTTATATTTGGATGTCACATAAAGAATGGATAATATTTTCAGCATGCATATGCCCTGTGCAAAAGTTGGGATATATTTACACTAAAATTTGTTTATCTAACATTCATATTTAACTAGGTGTTCTGTGTTTTTATTTGTTAGATCTGGCAACGCTACCCACACCCCTGAAATGTCATAGAGCAGGCACCTGAGAAGAGCTGCTCCAGCCGCTGGCTCACATCTCCGCCGTGGGAAAGTGTGGCTCATGGGGAGGGGGCCAGAGGGCCTCTGGACCCTGCCTCTGGGTCCCCAGTTTTTTCATGCCACAGAACTGCCCTTCTATGCTCCTTCCTGCAAATGGGGAGGGGCAGGGCCTGAGGTGGGTGGTCCCAGCCCAGGCGAGAACACTAACCCTTGTTGTCAGCATCCACCATGGCTCCCAGGGCCCCAGCATTCTTAATGGGTGAGGTCGGGTGGGGGCGGGGGCACAGTGGGACCCGAGACAGAGCAGACAGGAGGCTGTTCTTGTGTAGAGGCAGGAGGGTCGTGGACAGAGCTGGCCTCTTCTGTTCAAGGCTTAATCTGGCGGTGGGAGGGGAGTGGGTGCATGCGTGCACGTGTGTGCTCAGGCGTGCAGGGGGCAGCGAGGCCGAGAGACCTCATGCGGTCAGTGGGTCCCTCTAGATTCCACACCAGTTCCGTCTGGGAATTCCCAAGAGCAGCAAAGTCCAAATGTCTTCATACACGCTCGCCGCCACCCCGGCCCTTTCACTAAAGAACAAGCTAATTGTGTCTCCTGCAAGGGCCCAGCTGGAAGGGCCTGGGAGGTCAGCTAGTCCATCAAAGGAGCCAACTGGAGCTCAGAGGGGTGACGAGGCCAAGTCACACAGGACACTGGGGCTGAGTCAGGACCAGAACCACACGGGTCTCAAGACCCTACACTCAGAGGCAGCCTCAGGAGGCAGCTGCTGCCCCGGACGGACGGAAGAATCCTGCCTGGGGACCTGGTGAAGCCTGATTGAGCCCAGCCCAGGCCCGGGGTGAGGGGAGGAGCCAAGCCAAGTTCTGTTCCTCTCTGCCCGCTCCCCACCATACGGTGGTGGCCACTCATATCCATAATGGCTTACGGCTGTGGGCTGGGATCTTTCTTTTCAAAGCCCACAGAACATTCTGCTCTGGCCCAGCTCTGCCTGCAGGGCCGGTGTTCTGTTGTGTTGCTAAGTGTGCCAGTTACTATGGGGTGCTGTGTGACCTTCGTCAAGAAACGTAACGTCTCTGTGCCTCTCTAAACTCATCTGTGAACGAGGGTGGGGGGTGGATCACGTAGGGTCATAATAGGGATGAAATGAGCCCCTCGGTGTCTGGAATCCAGCAATGGGGGATAAATGTTAGTTTAATAATGACATGCACTAAATGTTCTTTTGCTGGCAGAAGAGAGAGGCCCAAAGCTCCCTGTCTTCATTTCACATAGAGGCAGAGTGAGGCGACAAGGAATGAAGGGTTTGCTTCCTCCGGAGAACAGCTCTCCCCAGAATGCTGGCTCACTATCTCCCTCTGCTGTCCATCCCGTGTTCTGCATCCGACAAGGGCCAGGTCAGACAGGGCTGGTGACCTACTTCAGAGGGTGTTGGTATTGCCCACTCCTGCTAGCGGGCCATGGGGGGCCGGATGTGACAGTGGTGCTGGGACCAGACATTTGATAAATTCCCTCTATTTCTGGTTTGTCCCTCCCTTCTCCTCCCCCACTGCCTGGGTTGGCCTCATGGTGGGTGCCCGCCTGTCCCTCAGGCTGAGCACTCAGGGGGACTGGGACGCTGCTTGTCACAGGTGTGCCTATTGTCACTGCCCCCAGGCAGTGTGGCTCCCCAGGGCCATCACAAGCATCTTCCTAAGGCCTCCAGCCCAGGCTCCCCATGGCCTACTCTCTTGCTCCCTAATTTCCAGAGACTCCCCGACTTCTGCCTGAACAACAAAGTCCCATCTCAGGGAGGCCCAGCCCCGACCTGGCCTGGCAGTGTGCTCCTCTGCCCTGCCCGCATGTCTTCCAGCCACACACCTGACCCTTTCCTGCTCCCCTCTTTCCTGAGCTTGGGTGTAGAGGTTATTTTTGGAATTTGCTGGTGATTTTTTTTTTCTTGTCTTTTTAAAAAATTGAATATATTGGGGTTACATTGGTTAATAAAATTATATAGGTTTCAGGTGTGCAATTATATAATACACAATCTGTGTACTGTACTGTGCGTTCACCAAGTCAGGTTTCCATCCATCGCTATTTATCCCCCCTTAACTCTCTTCTAACGTCCCCCTTCCCCTTTCCCTCTAGTAATCACCATACTATTGTCTGAGTTGCTTTTTTTCCCTTAATCTCTTCACCTTTTTCACCCAGTCCCCTCTTATCATTATGTTCTCTCCCTGAGTCTGTTTCTATTTCATTTGTTAATTTATTTTGTTCATTAGATTTCACATAAAAGTGAAATTATATGATTACTTGTCTTTCTCTGACTTATATGGTACTTTTTTTCACTTAGCAAATTCTCACCCCATCTTCAAAGCTCAGCTCTAATACCCGCTCCTCCCGAAAGCCTTCCAGGACTTGGATCTTCCTGCGAGAAATGACTCTTCCCTCCCTGCTCACCCCCACCCAGGCCTTCTCTCTCTCCCTAGATGTGTGCACGTCCTGCTGTTCCCACCCGCTGCGGGGGCGGCCGGCTCTGATTCAGCGCTCATTCCCCACGGTGCTTTGTTCCGAGTAAACACTGGCTCTGTTGTCACTGAGCTGAAGCTGGTTGGGGACCTCCTGAGGTCAGGGGCCAGATCTCTCCAGGCAATGAATTTAGGGAACGAATTCCTGAAGTCCTGGGTGGGGAGCTGTGAGCTGGGGCAGGGGGGGCGGTGTCATTCCTGACTGACTGAGCTCCCCAGCTCCACTGGCTGTGAGGGGTTTGGGGAATCCACCTCTTCTGCCTGCTGCCCCTCCCAGCTGTACACCATCCCCTTGGTGAGTCAAATGGCTCCCTAGGGATCCAGCAGCTCCTAGGGGTGAGCGGCAAGGAATGCTTGGCCCGCTGTCCGCCTTCCAAGAGGGGCAGGATGCGTGTTGGGCTGCCAATAGGAATTCCTGGGCATGGGATCAGGGTCCGAATCTCCCTCCCAGAATCCCTCTGGAAACTGAAGTCCGCCGCCCCTCATTCTTGGGGTGATGGGTGGGAGGGTGGTGCGTTGACCCCAGGCCTGAGCCGCCCACCTGTGGGCCAGGAGGGCGGAGGGAGGCGTGCCACCTGCCAATTAGCGGTGCAGAGCTTGTTGTCCTTACGAGCGGGTGGAGGAGCTGGACCAGTGCTCACCTCCGAGGCTTAGCGGAGACAAAAGCGGCTTTGGGGAGCCATTATCCTTCCCCAGTGTAGGTTTCCGGCGGCAGCGTGGCCAGCGGTGGAGAGGGAGGCACCCCCCAGGGCCAGGTGGGGAGAGGGAGGGGCAGCCAGGCTCCTGAGGGAGGTTGGGGTGGCAGAGGGAACAGGGAGGACCAGGCAGGAGGGGCCGAGCCAGGACCAGGTTAAGGTCTTGAGAGTCCGCCAGCCCTGGTGGCCTCTCTCCGAGACTCCTGCTCCCCAGGGCTCCCCAGCCCCTAGCCCCTCACTCTGCAGCCCCACTCCCACCCCCACCCTCACTGTTGACTCTTAGATGGGATCCTGTAGTCCGGGAGAAGAAAAGGCTTGAGGATCCCCTAGGGCCCCCACTTTCTAGTTCTGCTCTTGTTCACCCCTTGAAAGAAGGCTCAACTGCCCCCCTCCCCCGGCTCCCCGCCCCTCCCTCTCCCCGCTGTGGTGTCCGTCCGTCTCGGATCCAAATATTACAGGGGGATGATGGCTAGACCTCAGGAGAACTTCCCGGGCCCAGCGAAGCTGCGAGTTCCGGCAGCCAGTGGACAGAGTAGCCCCTCTGTGGGGGGCCATCCTCAGGGGAGCGTCTCGGGGCGCAGAGCGCCGGGTGGGGAAGATGCAGCTCGGACACGGTCGCCCTAACTGGTTTGGCTCAGTGGATAGAGCGTTGGCCTGCAGACTCAGGTGTCCCAGGTTCGATGCCGGTCAAGGGCATGCACCTTGGTTGCAGGCACCCGGAGGGAGCTGGGCTCCCGATCCCCTCACCCCGGGGGCCCTGTTAGCACCTCCTCCCTCCCGTGTTCGCGCTTCGCAGCCCCTCTTCCTCCTCGGCCCCTGCGGTCCCCTGAGAGAGGCCCCGTGGCTGGCAGCCCAGTTCTCCTCTTCCGACTCCACTTCAGCTTCTATTTTCCAAAGCTCCGGACGCCCCCTCCCCTCCCACCCCTCCCCCGCGCCCCTACAGTTTGGCGCCCACTCCTCTTCCAGGTGGGGCACAGGGTGAGCGCCCCCATCACCCTGCCTGGAGAGGGGAGGAGGGAGCTTGGGAGGGAGCCTGCGCTAGGGGCCCTAGCTGCGTCCTAGGGCAGCTGTGCCACCCTCATCAGGGAAGGGGTGGGGGAGAGGGACGGTAGAGCAGTAGAGCATCCTCTTTGCCCCCCACCCCCACCCCCGTGCCCATCCTGAGCTTGGGCTGCTGATGGGGACAGGGTGGTCCCTTGCTCGGAGCCGGGCTGTCAGGCCGCCAGGGCTGCAGGTTTCCTCTGCCGAAGGGCCCCTTCCCCGCCGGCTTTGATGTGTCTGCGAGGTTAGAGGAGGATGTTTGGCTTGGGGGCCAGGTGCCAGGATAAACTCCCTCCGCCTGCCGGGCCAAACCACTGCCTCCTCAGCGCCTGGCTCACCTCCTTCCCCGGCCCCAGGCCTGGCCTGGCTTCCCCCAAGGCCGGCCCTGCCCTGCCACCCAGTGGGGTGGGCACCGCGTGGCGTGGTGGCATTTGCTGCTACTGGGGAGAGACCCTCAGGCTGGCGGGTGTCCTGTTGCGGCGGCGAGGCCGTCACTGGGGTGCCTGCTCGGTGACCAAGGGCCTGGCCCAGGTGGGAGTTGCGGGACCAGACCCCAGCTGTCAGTGGAGGAGGGGGTGCGAGGGGGTGTGGAGGAGGGGCGTCCACGTGGAATCGTCTGCATAGGCTTCAGCTCTTCCAGATGTGCAGCGGCTCCAGATGTGGGGATGACTCAGCCTGGAATGGAGGTGGGGGGCGGGAATCCAGGTCCACGGAGGGGGCTAGAGAGCAGGGGGAAGTGAGGTCCTGAGCAACTGCTAGCGGCCGCTCCCCTTCCCCTGCAGCCCTGGCCCCTGGGGCCTGCGGGCGGGCTGAGGAGTGGTAGCTGCCGGCAGCTGCCCGGGATGCACAGCCTTCAAGGTTCCCACCGTGAGCAGATGGGGAGAGGAGAGGATGAGAGGCCTCCGGGCCAGGGGCCCAGAGACAGGCGAGAGGGGCAGAAGGCAGGGGGCAGCGAGTGGAAAGAGGGGCTGGCGGGCGGTGGGGGGGAGGGCAGAGACGGGAGGAGCAGCGTGTGTGACCTCACTGTGGAGTGTGGGTTACATGGGGGGAAGGGGGAGCTGGGAGAGCGTGGTGTGTCTGACACGTGTAAGAAGACGATGTGCGTGTTGGGTGTGGCGGCTGAGGGTCTGGTCTCCATGGTCTGGATGACAGAGGAAGAAGGTGGGGGCAGCCTCTCTACAGTGATTGGCTGAGGGGGGGAGCGGGGGCTTTGATGCTCTCTTAAGTGAAGCCACGTGTGTGTCTTTGGGGGCTGGGAGCGGGTCCCTTGGACCTGGGGGCATCCAGGCCAGGCCAGGGCGCCAAAGGCTTGGGGTCCCCCCGCCCCTCCTCCAGCCTCCCTGCTTTCTTTGGGGGAGGCTCTCAGAGTCCTTAGAGCTGTGGTTTCTCCCTGTGGGCCTCGGCTGGTGTGAGTTTTCTCCTGCAGGGCAGCTAAGGGGGCCCTAAAATTTGGGGAGCAGTGCCCTGTGGGCTGCAGTGCCAGGACCAGTGGCAGCTGGGCTGGATGCCCCTCCATGCACACCCCCCCCCCAGCTCCATAGAGCCTCTGTCCTGGCGTCCTCTTTGGCCTCCAGGTGGGTCTGCTGGCTGGGCCTCTGGCCGCTCCCTGGAGAGCCCCACCTGTGCCAGCCACCCATGCCAGGGTAAACAGGGCACTAAGTGTCTGGGCTGCTGCCCGCTGCGAGCTGGGCACTGCTTCTCCACAGAGGCTGGGCTCCCGCCTGTGGCTTGGGTTGTCTCCTCCAGCTAAATGACAGGTCTGATGCCCAGGCCCTATAAACAGTGTTTTCTGGGCAGGTAGGGGTCTGGTCATGGGGACCCAGCGAACAGACAGATAATCAAGTTTAATCAGGAGAAGATGTGTCACCCCCGCTAAGGGGGGCTGTTGTGACTTGCACCCCCACCCCATGCTGAGGGGCCCTTGACCGTCTCAGGCAGGAATCCTCTGTTCCCCACGCCCACCCAGCACACACACACACTCACACTCACACTCACACACACCAGCCCCTCCACCAGGTGCCAGGCACAGTTCTTGGCACCCACTTCACGTGTGAGTGCAAATATGTCCCCTCGGTGGTGGCTGGGACCAGGTCCTGTTCCCTCTTTTTACTGTGGGTGGAGCCCAGAGAGGCTGAGCCTCAGCCCGAATCACCAGCATGAAAGATGAACTTGGATGTGTACATGGTCCTCCAGACACTGCAGTACCACTGCCCACACACCGCCCGTCCCTGGCCATCTCCATCCCTCCTCCTGAGACTAAAGCCTGGAGGCCAGCTCCTTCCCAGGCTCCCCAGCCTCTCCACTCCTTCCCTCCCCTCTTCCTCTCAGCACCTCTCCACTCCCCTCCTCTGGGCTGAGTCCAAGTGGCGGGGTGGGGGTGCACTTATTTCTCTGTCCTCCCTCTGGACTCACCAGAGGACCCCCACCCCCCATGAGGGGCAGGTTATGGCCTTGCCTCTGGGGAGTGAGCAGGCGCCCAGGGCAGGGGTGGAGCACTCAGGGGTGGGGTGTGGAGGAGCAGGAGCATCTCCCTCCTGGGCAGGCTGGGGGCCCTTCACCCACATTCCCAGAGGGGAGGGCCGAGGGCAGGGAGGGGGCCCAGGAGCCAGTGGGCAGTGGACAGGCATTCAGGCTCATGGGTGCCACGCGGTACAGATGAGGGATGCCAGGCCTGGGGCCCCAGAAGTATCCCCTCTTCCTCCTCTTCCTCTCCTTCCCTCGGTCATGCTCCATCCCCGCATGTCTGTCTTTGTCCACATTTGCGTTTCTCTGTGGGCGTAGGTCTCTCTGCCTCCCACTCTCTTCTCTCTTGCCTCTCCCCTCTCCGCCCCTTCGTTTACTTCCTGAGGGGAGCAGCCCCTCTGTGGGAGCCAGGCTCCCAGAATGGACGATGGCTTGGTCCAGGGAGGCCCTTGGCTTAAGCCCATGGTCTCACAATAGCCATGTCCAGGCCCCCGCTCTGTGCCAGGGTCCAAGAGACAGAGACGCCAGCTCTTCTTGGTGCTGTGCGGGGTGCCCTGCGTTCAGAACTGCTCCCCTCAGCAGCCGGGGTGAAGGCTCGCTCTCAATATCCCTCTCTCTCATTAATCTCACCCCTCTTTTTCTTCTCTCAGTTATCTCACCCCTCTCTCTCCTCTCTTTCCCATCTCTCTCAATCCCTCTTTTTTCCTTCTCCTTCTCTCTCCCTCTTCCTCCCTCACCCCCTTCTCTGGGAGGGCAGCACCCCAGAAGGCTGGAGTCCGGCTGCTTTCCTGGGGGACCGGATGCCCCCTGTGCTCAGGACAGTCCAGATCCCGGCTGTGCCTGAGAGTAATTGTTAGCATTGCCCCAAAGCAACCTGATTTAGACTCTAAATTCCTGGAGAGCCTCACAGCCTCCCCAACCCCGTACAACTCCCAGGAGAGCCGTGTAGCCTGCCTGGGCCTCGCCCAAGGACACCAGGGCCAGACAGCAAAGAGGGGAGCTGTATAAATAGCCCATTTGGGGCGCCCTCCCCGCCACCCGGAATTGGGTAGGGCGGGTCTGTTTGCTGGAGAGGGAGGAAGGAGAGCTGTGGTCACCCCCAGGCAGCATGTAATTTAGGATTTATTTTGGGGCACTCTCTATAGCGCTGGGTGGGGCGAGGGTAATTTAAGGGTTTAATGGGGTGGGGGGATGGATGGACAGGGGAGAGGGAAGCCCTCCCACTCGGGCCTGGCTGGGAAGGTGGGTCCCTTCCAAGATCCCTGCTCCCCTCGGTCCCTGGGTACCTCCTTGGAGGCCCTCCCGGGCCCCTCCGGACCTGCCTTCTCCAGCAGCAGACGGGGTTTGCAGTCTCCTCCACGGCCTGGGCTCCAGGTGGTGGGTCCCAGCTGCACGGGGAGCCACTGGTGGTTGAGAGACATAATGATGGGTGGGGGGGACAATGGGCAGCATGTGGGCAGAGATGACCCTGCCGGAGGGTCCCTGGGCTGGGAAGCAGCCACTCCTGGAGCTTGCTAGATGCTCTGCTCTTGCTCCCAGATGCCCCATGCTCCGCCCTTGCCTGGAGGTGCAGGACCCTCCGTCTGATGGAGGAGACCCAGGCTCTGTCCTCAGGTAGGCCTCGGTCTGAGGGGCAGACGGGACACAGGCTCCGCTCTCCCATGGCCAGTCATTATTTCCTTCGCCACCCCCATCATGATCTTAATTTTTAGTCTTTGTTTGCGACTTTAGTCTGTGTCTCTTCCGGGAGCTGGAGCTCCGTGATGGTAGGGGCTCCGCTCTGTCTCTTACAGCACCTTCAGCACCTGAGAGCACAGAGGAGCTCAATCAGTAGTTCCCAAATGAATAAGTGAGGACGCAGCGCTAGATTCCAAAGCCCCTGGTCAAGAGGCAGCCGGGCACAAAGTCTGAAGTCTTCCTGCTCGCGTTCCAGGCCACATGGTCTGACCCCTGCACCTCGCAGCCTTCTGCCCCCGCCGTGGCCCCACTCTTCGAGGCCACCGGCCACCCTGAGCTATTGACCGCTGCGCAGATGTCCACTTCCATCCCTTTCTCACCACACTCGCTCCACCTGCAATTCCTTCTGTTCCCATCGCCTCTTGACCAAATCCTGCTGGTCATTCAAGGTCCCTGCAGTCACCTCTTCCGTGAAGCCTGCTCGGATCCCTCTGCCAGACACAAACACCCTCCCCGCTCACTCTGCAACTGGGTTGTTGTTTCACTCTTCTTTAAACCAGAAGCCCCTGGGGTCAGGCTTGCCTGAGCTGTCCCGGAGCCTGGCACCCCAGGGGTACTCAATCAGAGGGCGCTGGGTCACCCAGGGGACAGGTGGTGGTGTGAACTCTGGGTGGTGCTCTGGTGAGGGGTGTGTGTGATGCAGGGCTAGGTCACCCAGGGGACAGGTGGTGGTGTGAACTCTGGGTGGTGCTCTGGTGAGGGGTGTGTGTGATGCAGGGCTAGGTCACCCAGGGGACAGGTGGTGGTGTGAACTCTGGGTGGTGCTCTGGTGAGGGGTGTGTGTGATGCAGGGCTAGGTCACCCAGGGGACAGGTGGTGGTGTGAACTCTGGGTGGTGCTATGGTGAGGGATGTAGGTGATTTCAGGAGCCAGGAAGAGTGGGGTGAGGGTGGCATGAAGTTTTCCTTAGAAACATTGACCCTTTGGGTCAGAGAGGAGGGGAGAGTGAGGGTGCATTGGAGTGGGGAGGCTGGGGGTGGGGGCAGGCAGAGGGAGGAGATGGGCAGAGGGGGATAGAGAGTGGGCAAGGCTGGGCGTCAGAGGAGGCAGGACCTCCTCGGACCCACGTGTCCCTTCTCATCCCACAGCACACAGCCCCTCGCCTGCTTTAAGAGCCTCTTGCTTCGGGGGCTTCGAGGCCCCTCCCTGCCCCCGTTTCCCTGCTGCCTCTCTGGCCACCCCTTCTCCAGCTCCTTTGCCAGCTCTGTTCCTTCATCGTCCCTCGGGTCGGACCTGGCTCCTTTCCTCCCCGCTTTCTCCAGGGGACCGCCACCCATCTGGCCACCTGGTGAGCCTGGCCCCTGGGATGGCGTACGGTGTGTTGAAGTCACCGTGTTCAACAGCCAGAGTTCAAACCAGAAGCCCGGAGCCAGCCCTTACCCCTCTGCCAACTGGTCACCAAGTCCCTAGACTCCTGCCTCTTACGTCTCTGTGCGCCTCTTCCCGCCCCGCTGCCCGAGGTCTGGGCCTGCTGTCCACCACCTCCCACCTGGACCTCTGTGGCAGCTTCCTCGTGGCCACCCTGCCTCCGTGCTGATCACGTTCCAACCCATCCCCCACGCTCCCCCAGAAATCTTCCCAGAGCAACACTGGATCATGTCCTCCCACTGCCTGTCCCCTCAGGGCTCCTTCGCAGCACCCACCCCTCTGCCGGCTCTGCACCTGGCAGGTGCCATTCCTCGGCCCGCAGCGCTCTTCCCCAGGCTCCTCTTCGTCCTCACTGACTCTGGGAAGGCTTTCCCCATGGTCTTCCCTCCGAGCGTGGGTCAGGGGTTTCCCCATCACAGCGCTTCGCCCTTCACCCAGACACAGCTTCCCTTCACAAGGCCCGGCACCAACAGGGCAGGCGCCCAGGAATCATGTGTGGATGGAGATTTACGGAGCAAGAAGGAAGAAGACTATGGCTTCACCCCAGAGCAGGGCCGCTGGGGCAGTGGCGTGGGGAGGTTCCAGGGTCTGGAATGGAGCAGGAGACCTTGGTTAGGGTTCTGGCCTGGGGCTCAGGGTTGAGGCTGCCCCGTCTGTACTGCTTACCCTGTGGGCATTCACCTCCCCAGGAGACACACAGAATCAGCAGAGGAATCCAGCCCCAGGCCCCGGGGTCCCAGGATGAGCCCAGCTGCCGACTGGCACCCACAGCATCTTCAGTGGCAGCCTGGGATCCAGACAAACTGGCCACAGCCAGAGATGACCGGCATCCCTCCGAAGTTCAGGGCCAGGCCCGGGAGGAGGACGCTCCCTGGCATCCATGGACGGCCTCAGTGGACATCTTCTTTACAAACTTGTTTTCTACCTAAACAATTCCTAGGCAGCCTGGGCTGGGTTGCTCAGTGGTTGGAGCATCACCCTGTGCACCAAAAGAGCTGCTGGTTTGATTACCATTCAGGGTGAGAATGGGAGACAACTGATGGATCTTTCTCTCTCTCTCTTTCTCTCTCTCTCTCCCCCCCCCTTCCTTATTCTCTCTCTAATGTCAATAAACATATTCTCCGGTGAAGATTGTTGTTTCATTCATAGGCATTTTACTTCTTACTCCATACTACGTCCTTGTATGTTTTAACATCAAACTAATGCTTTAAACCACTTACCTTTGGGCGAAGAAAAAAGGACATTCTGGGAGACGAGGCGGATAATCGGGGCGGAGCTACTCTTGCCTTCTTCCTGGCTTTGGGAAGAGTGTAGGACCAGGAGCTACAGGCTCCGGTCCCAGGCCCCGCTCTGCCCACACGGATATGGCTGCGGCGTCCACAAAACGGGCCTTGCGCCGGGGGTGCTTTGGCTTAAGACAGTGGCCACCATGAAATGGAGCCGTGGGTGTGCAGACTGAATGCTTCACACATGGAGCCCTGGGTGCCAGGCTGGATGCCTGGGAGCCTGGGACTGAGGGGGGGGGAGCAGCA